CAATGCTTTGCTGAGAAAGGAAAGCAGTCTCATTTCTAAGCTTTTTGCACCTTAAGTGAAATAACAACAATGAAAGAGATTCTGATCCAGACTCAGTGGTCCCAAAGACCTACCTCCCACTGTGGGTATTCATGTGGCTTCAGGGGAAGTTTGTGAGTGCCTGGGAGGACAGCCAGACAGCCAGCCATTGTTCTGGTCAATGTGCTCCATAGCGGTCCAAGCACAAACAATGTGATTGCTGGGCCTGAAGGGGAAAAAGTGCAGATCCTGGTGCAAGGGGTGCCGGGAAGTCTTCCTGCCTGAAATGAGACTGCTGTCAAAAGGAGCTTAAACCTCACAATTCTTATTCTATGCCAGAATAAACAACACATTACCTTTCCCTGCCAAAAAAAAAAAAAAAGTACTGTGGAAAATCATTCCCAATAGACAAGCACTAAAGTAAAATATTGAGTCAACATGGAGCACTTTCTTCTGATTTACTGGCCGCTGGGTGCTTACATTCTTTTCTAGGAAGTTGCATATACTCCATCATCTCTGCTGTGCCTTATTTCTTCGTCACTCTGGATTTGGCACAGAGCTAGCATACAAAAGGATTTTTAAAAAATTTAAAAACCGAATGAATTAAATTAAAGAGAATGTTACTGATTCAAATTTGAGGTTCCCTTCTAAGTGGCTAATGCTACAAACAGTTTTCTTAGAGGTCTTAATTCAAAGACAATAGACATCCTCTGTGTAGTCATTGACTACTCAGAACCACTGACCATATAAACATTTTCCTCATCTTTGATTTTAGAATTTGGTTCCCTCAAAATCTCATCGCACCAAGCAGGACATCCAAGGAGGAAAACACTGTGCTTCAGTCCTATCAAATAAACCTCTCCCAGCTGTCAAAAGAAAGAAAAAGTAGAAAAGGATACAGCCCTCTTGACTGATTTCTGCTGCCTGATACAGAAAAATCTCTGAGTGTGGTCCAAGAGTCACCTGCAGTGGAATCTCTGGGCACGGGTATTAAAATGCAGACATTTGGGATCTACTTCAGAATCAGTGTCTCCATGAGGACTTAGAATCTAGGTTTTGGCAAGCACAAAGCACCACCAGCACTTAAGTGTGACTTGTAGTAACAGCTTTCATCCTGTTAGTAAAAATGATGTCTTCAGATAAGGAATGCAGAATCCATGTGATCCTGGCTAAGAATGGTTGGTGAAGATCACAGATGTTGAATAGAGGGAGTCTATGACATAATAATAGTCATGTTTCTCAACCTACCTTTCCAGGGAGCCAGTCATCTGAAAATTTAGCAATAACCCTATAATCAACATCTGAAATCACTATTACACTTCAAAGTTGATATAACATGAGATATTTAAGTCTTATACAAAAGCACCCACATTCACTCACCCAGAGTTTGACAGTTACACCATGACCAGATCTAGAACAACAACTCTACATGTTTTAATTAAAGAATCTTTTTTTTTTCTTGCTTCTCTTTAACAATAAGAGCCCTTTACCCATATCTGGAGGTTTGTTTATCAGCATTGTGTGCATGGCCATGATATTGGGTCCAGTGAAGCACTCCACATACTTCAGAACCTGAGTAAAGGAAGAAGAAAGAAGAACAATCTCATTGGAAATTAGAAGTATAGGCAAGAGGCATAAAGTGTCCACACAAGAACCCAAAAGACAACAATTTAAATACCAATTGGTATTTCACAATCATGAAATATAGTGTTGAATGTCCAACACTAAAAATTAAATGGAACTGTTCTGAGAAAGCATGGAATATAATCCAATAAGTCTGGCCATTCCCTGAATCTCTTCCCTGAGGTTAATGAACAAGGCAGAATAATGGCCAGTACAGGGACCAAGGACAAAAAAAGCAGCCTCCTATACGCATAGGGTCCTAGTCTCATGAGAAGAAAGGAAAATAGAAAATGTGAACATCATGGATGGTAGTGCTTCATCTAACACAATTTGCCTCTGGCTTCAAATTCTATCTGTGACCACCTGCAGACTTCCATTCCCATCATCACAGCACCAGAGATGGAAAGCACAGATGGTCATAGGTCATTTCCCCTGGGCCTTCTCTCTTGAGTGCTGGGCAGGATATCCCAGGTGTTTACCTCGGCAGTCTGTCTTCAGGAGTCAAACACTCTGACAGCATCTGCTATATGGAAAGTCTCTTTCAAAAACATTTTAAACAAGTGGTTAGGAAACCACGGTTCTAAAAGGTGGGAGTGAACAAACACACTTGAGGATGCAGGACCTAATTCCAGAAGAATGCACCAAGAGCAAGGCAGGCTGAGTAGAGAGACACTGTTTCCCATGTTGTGCCCTTCTGATTTGCTTGGATACTTTTAGATATATCAATTACTATTAAAGAAGAAGAAATTTTTAAAAATAACTAACTCATGGCTGTTATCCCAGCAGATTGGGAGGCTGAAGCAGAAAAATCATAGGTTCAAGGCCAGCCTCAACCACAGTATGACCATTTCTCAAAACAAAGAGTAAAAAGAGTTGGGAGTGTGGTTGAAAGATATAGTGCCCCAGAGTTCAATTCTTAGTACCACAAATAAATCAAATTAAATAAAAAATAAATTAAGTTTAAAAGAAATTCATTCAACTGACCCAATTTATGAAATACATTAAGAAGTCAATACATTTACAAATTACAGCCTCACAATTTCACCCCTGTTCATATTGAGCCTTAGAAGCGCTCTTTCTATTCAAATCAGAATTGGTCTTTCCCCCCAAAAAAAGATAATTAGCACACTTCACAGAAGCGTTTGTTAGTCTTGGTGCTATTGGTATCTTGGTTGGGTCAAGTCTTGGGGAGAGAACTCCTCTGTGCATCATGGGATCTCAGGTCCTATTATCAGCATCCTTGGTCCCTACCCACTAGAAGCCACTAGTGCACCCACTATGCAGTTACCATCACCAGGAAAGTCTTGAGACATTGTCAGTATCCATTGGGAGGCAAAATCACCTCCAGCTGAGACCCACCACGCTAGTCTTCCATGTGTAGGAAGGGGTTAGATTCACACAACCAGGGGATCTTGGGGCAGACCTGCAAGCTGTCTATGAAGGAGAAATCAAACCAAGAGCAAGTCTCTAACCTCTGGGAGAGTGCAGTATCTAAAGAGCTCCTTATCTTCCTGGTAATCTTGAATCCTTGCAATTGTTTTCTCACTTGGTATATCCTCTGATTCCACAGAGGACACATCTCTTATTATAATGAGTCCTACAGGTTTGGACTCCTCGCTGCAGATCTTTTCAAATGCAACCCTAGAAAATTAAATTTACAAATAACGTCATGACATCTGCTCCATACCTCTGGTTGGCCCTGACCTGTGCAAAGATTTACAGATTCAGGAACAGTTTCTCTCTGCTAAGTCAGTCCTCAGGCCTAGTAGAGGGAGGAGAAAATGGCCAACTGAGAAGTCCTGGCCTCCTGGCCTCCTGCAATAATGAAAGAAGCAAGGGGGGGTGGTGGATATAGCTCAGTCTATTGCTTCCTCACATGCACAAGGCCCTAGGTTCAATCCTCAGCACCACCAAAACAAAAAAAATACAAAAAACTGAGAATATTGCTTTGCTTAACATACCAGTGGTGATATAGTTTTCTGGTACCATTGTAATAATACAGGCTGAATATCCCTTATCTAAAATACTTAGAACTAACATCAGGTATTTTTGGATCTTAGAATATTGACATATACAAAATGAGCTGGTTGTGGTGGAACATGCTGTAAATCCCAGAGACTCAGGAGGTGAGGCTGCAGGATAGTAAATTTAAAGCCAGTCTATTCAATTTAGCAAGACTCTGTCTCAAAATAAAGTGAACAAAGGGATGGGGGTGGAACTTCCTGGATTCAACTCCAAGCACTAAAAATAATAATAATCTTAATAACAAAATATAATAATGAGATATCTGGAAGATGACACCTAAGTGTCATCACAAAATGACTCTGTGTCTCCTCTATACCTCATAAACACAGCTTGAAGATAATTTTATACAATATTTTTAGTGTGTCTGTGTTGTGACCATGACCATCATATGAGCCAGGTGTGGAATTTTCCCCTTTTGACATCATCTTGGTGTTCAATAGTTTGGATACTGGTTTTCTGATAAGTGATGCTTGGCCTTTAATAGCAAATACTCCTGTAGCACCTACCTGATGCCACATATTTTACCTTTTCTCTCCTATCAACAATGCTAGGAGATCAGTGTTATTACTATGACCATTTTACAGAGGAGTACACACATGTATAGAAAACTATGGTGACGATATGGGACATGCCATGTTAAGTGGTAGAGCTGAGATTGAGGCCAGAAAGTCTGCCTCCAGAACCCATGCTCATAAACACATCTCAACAGACCACATCACTCAAAAGTATCTAAACATGCAGAGGCTAATCTAACTTGTAATCCCACTGCATACATGTAATACAATGTTTACAAATTTTTATGTAGAATTACAATGATACATAATGTTGGGATTCCATGTGATAGATTCACACCTACACAGAGCATCAGTTGGTCAGTTTCATTCCCCAGCACCTCTCCTTTCCCTCCCTTCCTCCATCCCATGGACATCTTTCTTGTATCTACTGATCTCCCTTCTGTTTTCTCGAGAGCCCTTTTTTACTTGTGTCTCTCTAGTTTCCACACAGGAGAGAAAACAATGACTTTTGACTCTGAGTCGACCTTACTGTGCTTAACATGATGTTCTCCAATTCTATGCATTTTCCTGAAAATGACACAATCGCCATAACATATTTTTTGTAAAATAAGCAAGAGTATTTCTGCACCTAAAGCGTTGAATATCAGCATCAGATACTAGATTTTTAATAACAAGAAATCCATTTTCTTCATAAAATTGTCTCTGTTCCAGGCTCAGCACATTATTATCCAAACTATACCTATAGGAGAAAAAGGCGCCAAATTAGTCCAAATTTTAAATTACAACGCAAAATTATGTGCCAAGAACCCCCCAAAAATGTTCATATTCTTTGATCCAATACTTCTAATTGTAGAACTTTAACAAAATAATCTTAAAATATTTGAAAAACTTCAGGTCCAAAACATTAAAAATGCTCACAAAATGTACATTAATTGAAGAAAAATTAACTAATGATATTATATCCACTTGATGCATTAAAAGTAAAGGACAAAAGAGTAGTGACAATGCACGCACATTATAATAAAATATGATTACAATGATATAAACACATCACTATTTGTGAAAAGGAGACTATTGAGAAATACATCAAAAAAGATTTTGGCAGTAATTGCATTTCAATAATGGAATTATAAATGATTGTTTAAAAATTCCCTCTATTTCTCTAATTTTGAATTTTTCCTAGAATGTATATGATTTTTCAGTTGGGGAACTAATTTAATAAATTTTATGTTTTCAATTTAATCAATATATTCTCAGAAGTCATTAAAGTAACAAAAACCAAATGAGGGTACAACAAACAAGCAAATGCAAATCACTCATCTCTTAAGATGAAATCTGGCTATAACAATATTTATAAAAGTCAAAGTATTCCCCTTAAAGGTGATTTAAGATAATGAACCTGGATAGTGGTTCAGGCCTATTATCTCAGTGATTCAGGAGACTGAGGGAGGAGGATGACAATTTCTAAACCAGCTGCAGAAACTTAGCGCTGGCAAGATTCTAAGCATCTTACACAGACCCTGTCCCAAAATAAAAAATAAAAAGGACTGGGGATATAGC